CTGGAGATCCCCTTCCCTTCTACACCGTGGAGCATGAATTCCCTGGTTTCTGAAACTCAAGTTACTTACCTTTGTGAAGTCTATTCTCCCAGCTATTCTCTGGGTACCTGTTACACACTAGAAATTAGTGCAGGCCTCAAGTGGGAAGACGTGGATTAAAGTTCAAGAGAACAAGTGTGCTCACTTGCTCATTCGTTCAACAAATACTTGACTGTCTTCCTGCCTGGGTGCTCCAGTGTGACATGCACAAGACAGCCAGGTGCCTGCCCCATGGAGCTAGTGGTCCACCAGAGAAGAAAGCCAGTGTCTGGCACACAGACAAGCTCAGTAGGCACCTGTGTAAGTGTGAAGAGGGAGGAAGTGGACAGCGGGGTGCGGGGGGAGGACAGAGGTAGCCTAGGCAGGTGCCTGATGGCATCAGGAGAAGCTCTCTGAGGAGATGCTGTTTGAGCCACTACCTGATGGCTGGGAAGGAGTTGACTTTGGGGAGAGCGAGTGGGATTATGTCACTGCTGTCAGAGTAAACAGCACATACAAAAGCCTTAGGACCAAAGGCATCTGGTGTTTCCAAGAAACAAAATAACAGCTCATGATGGAGGGAGGATGGCCTGAGATGAGGCTGGAAGGCCAGAAACTGCTGGGCCCAGAGTTGCGGTTGAGTGGGCCTGGTGGGGACTGAGACCCTGGGATTATCCAGGGGCTTTAAATACACCCTTGTGCCAAAGTGCTGATGAATTTGACTTGTGGGAAGAAAGCCTTTTAGCTCAGCGAAGCAAATCCAGTCAGTTTGTGAGGTCATCTGAAGCATGATTTTGTGTCCTTGTGAAGAGAGCCGGCAAAACTGAGGCCAAAGTTTGGTTAATGAATTTGCCTTATGTAGTAGCATTCATTTAAATTTTGCATCTCTGCCCTTCCTTAGGGCACAGCTGTTGCATCTGAGCTCTCCTCATTAGTAACCATGCCTATTCTGCCTTTGACGAATGTCACTGTGTCCATCATGTCCCTTGGCAAACAGCTGTTGTCCTCTTCCCAGGGTTTCTGCTCTTTCTTCCTGGGCTCAGGCACTTTGTCTCTCAGTGGATGAGTTTACATTCCTTGAGACCAAGTTCAAAGAGACACATGACCTCCTAGGCACTGGGCTTAAGAGGGGAAAGCAAACCACCAATGTCCCCACAATCTCTAGGAAGGCCTTCTTCATTCCCTCTCCGAATGCTTACAGGGATTTATGCTTCCTTCGAGAACATTTTCATTTGCCTTGTTTACAAAAGGTAAACTAGATTATTAGTTCACAGAAGATATTCTCTGGACCTGTGGCCTTATGCATAGCAGGTGATAAAAATATTTATTGCATTGCATTCTTGCTAGTAGTTACTGTTTATTGAGCAGTTAATTTTCAAGTACTCACCAGAGGGCTTCTTTAATCCTTACATGATAGCTAATTTGATGTGTCGATTTGGCTGGACCATCAAAAACTATTCTAAATGTTTCTGTGAAGGTATTTTTAAAGTGAAGTTAACATTTAAATGAACAGATTTTGGGTGAAACAGACACTCCTCCCTTATGTGAGTTGGGCTCCTCCAATCAGCTGAAGGCCGTAATAGAAAAAGATTGACCCCACCACCATTTCCCACACAGGAAGAATTCTGCCTGTAGATGGTTTTGCGTCAAGAATGCAATTTTTTCCTGAGTGCCCAACCCGCCACTGCACTCTGCAGATCTTAGAGTTGCCGATCTCTACAACTTCATGAACCAATTTCTTTTTTTTTTTTTATTGAATGGTAACTATGTATATTAATGCATTTCTGGGGTACAGTGTGGGGTTTTCACATGCCACGAACCAATTTCTTAAAGTCAGTCTCTCTCTTTTCATCTTTTTGGCTCTTTGTCTAGATGACCATGACTAATAGCCATTTGTGCCCATTTTATAGATGAGGAAATCAAGGCTCTGGGGTGTTGAGTCCCATGCTGGAGGGCACACATCTGGTAAATGGTAGAGCCAAGGTCAGGTGTCTTGGAGCCGTAACCTAGTGTGGCTTCTTATGCATGAAATCATTCTTACAAGAATGCAGTGGCCTGCATATCACACTAACTGCATTTCCTGCAGAGTATCTGACCTTTTTAATGATTCACTAACTACCTTAGGATCTTATAGTGCATGACAATCATGAATTATGTGAATGCCCTGTTGTCCAGGTGACATGTGGAAGTGTCCTATAGCAGAGAAGTTTGGCTAACAGGAGGATGTGTGCTAGACTTTCACTGCACATGCACTTGCTTAGAATACTTAAGACCCTTGAATAAAATTCTTTTCTTTAAAGTTATAATTTCTAAAAAGAAAAATCTTGAAATACCCACACTATTTTCCTACGCAGTCAACTGCGAGATCTTTAGGACCACGAATGGGAACCAAATAGGCAGCAACTTAAAATCAACCATTTTGTTGAACATAAGATTACATCCGCTACCTCCAGGAGAATGAAATTAAGACAGAGAGAAATGGACAGCCCACGTGGAGTTCTGAGTCTCTTGATGTCTTTCGCAGTGGGCTAAAGTCCCCTGGTGAGATCTAAACTTCAAAAGTGGCCTCAGGCTGGAACTTTTCCATAGAAAAAGTTGGCGGTAAACATTGACCCTGGGATCAATCGTTTCTGTTTAAGTTACAGACCGCCCCGATCAGAGAGAGGCCAGGTCACACTTGATAAAGGCAGCTTTTCTCAGGAAGAAGAGGCGTCCCAAACTCACGGAAAGACAATCTCTCAGGCTCCCAATTAAAATCATCCCTCCCAGGATGGAGAAGATGGCCATGAAGATGTTGATTGTGTTTGCCCTTGGAATGCATGACTGGTGGTGCTCAGGTAAGGTACCGGACGGGAGGCCCACGCCCTGACCCACGCCGAGCGTCCTGGCCCACGTGCCTTCTCTCACCCTGCCCTGTGCTTGTGTTCAGGCTTCCCGGTGTATGACTACGACCCCTCCACCCTGAGGGAGGCCCTCAGGGCCTCTGTGGCCAAGGTGAATTCCCAGTCGCTGAGTCCGTATCTGTTTCGGCCGTTCAGAAGCTCGTTAAAGAGAGTGAGTGCTGGATGAAGTCTTCTCTCCTCAACCCGCAGGCGGCTTTCTGTCTTTTCTCTTGTCAGTTTTACTCTTTAAAATTTTTTTTTAGTTTAAAAAAGATCATGGCTAATTATCTCTTTCATACTGTGTCTTTTTTTGGCAAATGGGATTTAACTCCAGTCTTGCCGTGCAGCTCTCAAAGCTGCCTGTGGCTGACTCCTGGCTGCCTTCCTCCTCTCACCGTCTCTCCCAGTCCCTGCGTTCTGTTTCTGCACCCCAGGTCCTCACGGCCGCTCCCGCGGTGATTGTTAAGAACGTCTCATTAGGAGGAATAAGCCTCCTTTCAATCTCAGCAGTTCTTTTAATACTTCTTGGAAATAAATTCCGGCTTTAGCGCCAGAGAAACCCACCTCCTTTTGCCAGTTTGGTAATCCCAGGTATCTGGTTTCCTTTCAGCCTTGGGAACTGAGGAAAGAGGAATTTTCTTGGGCTCCCAAGGACTGCGTCTGATGTGACAAGGGGGTGTGGCAGGTGGCCGCCCTTTTCAGTTCCCCAGGGAACTCCAAGGCCTGGTGGTTGTCCTAATAGGGTTAGGGTTAGGAAGTAGGAACAGAAAGACCCTCAAGCACATTCAGGGAAGGGTGGGAGGGAGAGGAGGCGCTAGAAAGTTAGCAGTCTCGGGGATGGAATCTGTGCCGTCAAGGTGGCGTGGGAGGAAGAACAGAGACACAGCCCGGAGTCGGGGTGGCTGGGTGGCAGCAACCCTGTGCAGAGGGGACCCGGCTGTGCTGCCTCCCGGGTGGCCCTGCAGCTCACACCTGGTAGCTGTTCCCTCTGCCGCAGCACGTGGTTCCTGGTTTCCCAGCCCTACCCTCCAAATACAATATGTTCATCTTGATCTTCTTCAGAAACTGCCTCAGTTTCTCTTTCCCAAATTCCAAGAGAATTAATAATATTTTCCCACGTTAGGGTATAGGTCACGAAGACTATGGGCTAATCTTTAGTTAGGTGCCCATCTGAGAACCCAGGTGTCACAACCAGAGTGGGGTCACCAGGATCTGGGTGCTGTGGTGTGGGGACAGGGGACAGAGGCTGAGCTGCAGCTGGGGCAGAACTGGCCTGTAATAAAAAGCCACCTTCCCTGTGCACTGCTCCTGTGGCTTCCCAGTGCCAGTTCCGCTGGCGTTTAATGAAATCCACCTGTGACCTTGGGGGATCGATGTCTTCTTGCCAAGCTCGCAGATGAATGGTTTAAATTTACTTGTAATGTAGCTCTTGGTCACCACAGAAGAAAGTTAGTAGTTAAATAAATGAATAAGAGAATGTAGACAGACTCTGAGAGAACTGACTGCTGAGGCTGCAGATCTGATCTGTTGGGTGGATGGACTGCTGTGAGACATAGCCACTCGGAGCACACCAGTGCGTGCACTGTCTCAGCACGGGCACACAGACCTGAGCACAGATGCACCTGCTTCTCAAAACCCATGTGGCAGATGGGATCCTTCATGGGCACAGTGAGGGATGTCCCTGTCCCCCCAGTGCTGCCCCTCTCCCAGGAAGTCTGGGTGTCTTGCCTCTCTCAATCTTTCCTGATTATTCAAATTTATCAGTCAATCTACATTCATTCTACCCATCCGTGAAAATTCTCTCTCTTCTCCCATTGGGGGTGTGGGGGAGACTTTCCTTCTTTGATTTCTCCTGGGGGCATTTCTTTCCTCGTGGGAGTATTTCACATTGTGCTTTATGCAGTGTGTGTTAACCAAATCTTCTTCAGACACCTTACAAATGGCTCTAGATAGATCAGTTTTCCTCTATCCAACAGAAGGGGGGATCTGCTAAGTGAGCAGATCGCTAGCACTGAGGGTACAAACAAGTCACAAAAGAGGAAACACAGAAGAGTGAGAAGCATCTGGAAACATTCAGCCTCTCTAACAGAAAGAGAATCAGAGTCAAAATAACAAGGTGAAAAGGATAATAGGTGAAAAGAAATCTCAAATACTATTGGGAGTTTGTAATTGGTTAAAACCATCTTTGAAAAGCAATTTGGGGCTGGGCGCCTGTGGCTCAAGTGGCTAAGGTGCCAGCCACATACACCTAAGGTGGAGGGTTTGAATCCAGCCCCGGCCGCCAAACAACAATGATGGCTGTAACCAAAAAATAGCCAGGCATTGTGGTGGGCGCCTGTGGTCCCAGCTACTTGGGAGGCAGAGACAGGAGACTCGCTTGAGCCCAGGAGTTGGAGGTTGCTGTAAGCTGTGATGCCACAGCACTCTACCCAGGGGGACAGCTTGAGGCTCTGTCTCAAAAAAAAGAAAAGAAAAGCAATTTGGAAGTGTGTGTTTAGCATATTTACATGCATGTTACACATTACAATTAATAAATATTTCTAATCACATAGTTTGCCTTCTAGGAATATGTGCCAAGGGAGCAGGTGGTTTAGTCGTGTGTGCACACGTGCAGGCATTCTGAGGGAGAGGTCAGTGGGTTTAGGGAGAAGGGCTGAGGCCTTCCACTGTGTCCCTGACTCAGCATCACTGGGGGCTTTAGACACTCCTGCTATTCAGGGGCCTCAGTCGACAAACCGAATCCCAGCCGCTGAGGGCGGGGCTCACGTTCTGAAATGCTCTTCCAGTCACTCTAAAGTGCCCTCCGAGCTCCGAGCCACTGGGTGCCGTCAGCAGACATGGATGGAACACTCTTGTCATTGATTCCAATTGCTTGCCTCTTGGCTCCAAGTTTGAGAAAGGATGGGAAAGAGTCAGGTCCCATGACTTCCGCTCTGATGTGCTTCACCCTCTACATTAGGCTCCCTCAGAGCAGGGGGAGGAAAGGTGGGCACAGGCCCTGTGCTGGGGACCAGGAGCAGGAGAGGATGGACGAGGCTGTGCCTTCACATACAGAACTCGGACTCTACTGGATAAGGGGAAGTAGGGGAGAGGATGCAATTAAATAAATATTCATCTTCTCTCCAGGCAGTGGAGAAAATATGGCTGTGGGGAAAATAAGACTGGCCAGGGGTGGCAGTTCAGACAGGGCAGAGGTCCCCACTGAGGCTTCAGATTTGAGCTAAGGCTTACTCAAGTGACCGGACATCCAGCCATCACAAGACTTTCAAGGAGGAACTGGGGTGTACTGCTCAGAGCCAGTGAGAGAGCCCTGAAGGACAAGAGTGCTTGAGAGAGCTTCTGGCTAGAGTCAAGTGAGTCGGGGAAGTGGGCGTGAGCAGGATGCATCTGAGTCATGAATGTAAGGCCATCCCTTCACAGAAACATCCTGAAGAATGTCTGGGCACCTTGACTTAGCCAAGTTGACACATAAAATTGATCACTACAATTGTCAAGCAGAATCCTTATGGGTGTTTTATTGCTTATTGGAAATTAAAAACAAAATAAGATCATTACAAAAAGTTAGAAAATATGGCTTGGTA